TTCCCTGTAAATTATTCTTTATTTCAATTACTGTATCTCTGTTTCTACTGGATATTTTTAATGCTGTTGAGGTCCTCACTATCCTTAAGTTCCTTGAGCATCCTTATAACCTATGTTTTGAACTCTGCATCTGATAGATTGCTTATCTCCATTTCATTTAGTTCTTTTTCTGGAGTTTTGATCTGTTCTTTCATTTGGACCAGTTTCTTTGTCTCATTTTGGCAGCCTCCCTGTGTTTGTTTCTATGTATTAGGTAGAACAGCTGTGACTCCCGTCTTGGCAGCATGGGCCTAATGTAGTAGATATCCTGATAGGGTTCAGTTGCACAGCCTCCCCTATCGCCTAAGTTGTGTACTTGAGGTGCATCCTTCGTGTTGGCGGAGTACACTTGTCTGATAGTTGAGTCGTAACAGGAGCTGGCAGGTCAAAAGGAGGGGGCTAACAAAAGCCAGTCAGCTGCAAGGACTGGCTATGACCACCGATCACTACTTTTTGTCCTCCACTGAGCAACTGTGCAGGGGCAGGGTGATGGTGCTCCTGTGTGGACTATAGCTGTCCACTGGGTGCACAGGCTCTCAGGTTTCTCAGGTGGTGCAGGCCAGAGTCAGCCCCGACCTGTTTTGCCTGGGGCCACCTTACATGAGCTATAAAGCCATATGAGATGGCTGCTACTTGTGCTGGGATTAGATTCCCAGGCAAAGCCAATCTGTGAATCAAGGCTGCCTGTTGCTAGTGCTGGGCCTGGAGCTACTTAGCAAGGGTTATGGAGGATGGGGATTTACTGAGGCCAGCTGTTGCTAATTTGAGAGGATTTAGGAATCTCTGAAGCATGAGCCAAGACCAGACATTTTCATATCGAAAAGTCATCGTTAAAAGTTTGGGTGGGCTATGTGGCTCTGTAGGGGGAGGGCTCAGAAAAGGGACAATTGCCTCTGCCCACCTATATATCTATGAGAAAGCTATCCTCCAATGCTCATCTTGATGGCAGACACTTCAGTTCCTCCCTGTATGCCAGTGGTGCCTTTCAAGCCGCTATCTTGGTGCTGGAGCTCAGAGGGAGTGAGTCTAAGTTTGTGTGTGGGTTCTTTAAGGAAAACTGCCTGGGACTCCAGAAGTTTATTTCATTATAAAAATGACTCAATCCCCACTGATTTATGCAGCCAGAAGTTTTGGGGAGTTATTTTTCTTGCACTGGCAACCTGGGCTGGGGGGGTCTAGTGTGGGGCTGGGACTACTTGATCCGAAGATACCCCTCCTGCATTTTTATCCACCACACATGGATGTGGGTCCAGCCTGTTCTGTGTCTGTCCCTCCTAACCATCTGGATCAATGTAGTTTAATTCGACAGATGTCAGACTCCTAGTCAACTCATTTCTGACGGTTCTGAGTAATGGTTGTTATATATTTTAGTTGTAATTTTGATGTGGTTGTGAGGAGGTGAGACATGTTTACATATGCTACCATCTTGACTGAAAGTCTGGAATGATCTTTTTCTGTAAAGTGTGGCAGAAATCTCTTTTGAACTGTCTGGTCTGGGTGATTTCTTTGTGGCACAATTTTAAATTATGGGCTCAATTTACATAATGTTTTCTAGAGGTGGTTCCAATCTGTCAGGCATAAAATTCTTAGAGTAGTCACTTTTTAATTTCTCATATACAGCTCTCCTTTTAAATTCCTTACTTTATTATTCATTTTCTCTTTCAGTATTGATTAATCTTACCAGAGGATTGTATATTTTATTAGTTTCCAATGAACTCTGTTCTTCAGTGATTCTATTATATCTTAGCATTATTTTGTTAATTCAGTGTATATGTTTTATTTCTTTTCTTTGCATTTTGAGGCTTATTCTCTTGTTTTACTGATTTTTTAACTGAACTCCTACTTTGTACCTTTCTAAGCATTTAAAAAGATTATATATGAATTAAAATCTATGAAATCTCCCTCTAGGGACTGGTTTAGATACAACCCATGTTTCAATAAGTAGCATAATATTAAGTTCTACATATTTTTATTATAATTTATTTTTTTACCTAAGTTTTTAAAACTTATCTTTTTTCCTTTAAGAATCAGAAGTTGAACCCAGTCTAGAACTCAGCTTATAACCACTATACTATTCTTTTATTCTGGTTTGTTATGAATCACCAATAGTGACAAAGAACTCTTTAACATGGCATACAAGACCTTCTGCATGATCTGGTTCCCACAATCCTTTCTCTGGATTCTTTGAACACCATACTACTCTACTGCACTCTGTGTTTTGGCAAGAATAGCTTTTTTCAACTTTTCTGAACCTACCATGCATTTTCACACTCATCAACCTATAATGTTTGCTCTAGCTTTTCTCCTTTAAATAACAGATAGTATCTATTCTTGAGATTTTAACTTAATCATTACTTCTACAGGATAAGTCAATTATGTCTTTGATATATCCTCATACCCCTAAGTAACTCTTCATAATAGCACTTAGACTGTAAGATCCATGAGGAAGGAGAATGTATCTATATTTGCTTATGTTGTATCTATCCTCAGCACATGGAATGAATAATTTTGCAATACTTACAGAATGAATAAATAAATGAACACATTCCTGGCCCATATCAAATATTATAATAGGTACCAGATACAGAAAGGTAACAAACTTGTCTCTGGGAACTCACTGTGTCATATCCCTACCTTCTCTTCATATTCTCATCAAATTTCGGAATACAGTATTGTGGAAAATAAGACATTAATATTGCTGACAATGACACTAGAATTATTTGGAATACACAGGCTTACATGAAATGAAGCCTTTTCTCATTGAAGCACATTTCTAAGGTGACCCTTCCTAAAGTGAACCATCAAGATGTCATAAACTGTCACTTTCTTAGTATAGTTAAGACACAAATAATTCTCTTTGTACAGTGATTTTAAAACATCACTGATTATAAATGAATAACACTAACTCCAAAACAGACTTATGGGAAGAATATACAAAAATATTTTTAAAAACCTTAAAAGGCAAATATACATAAGAATTTAGTATATGAAAAAAGTATCATTTCAAATAAGAAGGGAAAGGATAAAATAATAAAGAGTTATAACACCATCATTTAAAAATCAAAAACATTAAGTCTCTTTTTAAATTATATCTTTCTGCCCTAGCTGGCATAGCTCAGTGGATTGAGCACGGGCCTGTGAAGCAAAGGGTCGCCAGTTTGATTGGCAGTCAGGGCACATGCCTGGGTTGCAGGCCAGGTTCCTAGTAGGGGACACATGAGAGGCAACCACACATTGATAGTTCCCTCTCACTCTTTCTCCTTCCCTTCTCCTCTCTCTAAAAATAAACAAATAAAATATTAAAAAAATAAATTATATCTTTCTTTGCCTTTCTAAACAAAAAAATGAACAATACAAAAACCACTTTACTAAAATCCACTGGGAATATAAATATAAATGCATACAGCTTAAAAATAGCCATGCTTACAAATCTGCAACCTTGACAATGACTGACCATAAACATAGTATTAATTCATACCTTACACGTAAGTAAATTTCAACTGACATGGCTGTTGAGGCCCAGTGGACTGAACAGTGGCCCATGGATCAAAAAGTGCTGGTTAAATTCCCAGTCAGGGAATGTGCCTGGGTTTTGGACCAGGTCCCCAGTTGGGGGTATGTGAGAGGCAACAAACTGATGTTTCTCTTGCATATCGATGTTTCTCTCCCTTCTCCCTTCCCCTCTTTAAAAATAAACAAGTAAAATATTAAACAAAATAAACTGCAATTGATTTAAGGTCCTAAATGTAAAAAAGTAGTATGTAATCCATCAAAGAAGAGTAAATAAATTATAATATATTCATAGCATGGAATAGTATAATTCATGTTACCAATGACAAGATGTTCGTGATACAGGAAGAGAAACAGTTAAGTTACAAAATTAAGTATAGTACATTACCAAGTACTTAAAATAAGATTTGCATATGCACATATTTATAAATGCATTAAAAAGGTATAAAAGGATATATATGGCAAGAAAATATAAATAAAACTAAATGTCAAAGAACAAACATGAAGAGTTAATATTCTGACTATATCACTTAAAAATAAAAAAAAAAGGTAAGGAACATAAACAAATTCTAATCTCCAAATACACAAATAAGTGCAAATTGAAACATGTAGGAAGTAACATTTAAGAAGTGAATTTCACCTATATCAGACTGATAAAGATTAAAAGGATACATTTTAGGGTAGATAAGGGTAAGTAAATAGTATAATACAACTATTACTATATGATAGTAAAAGTATAAACAGATGTGACATTCAAGAGGCTATTGGACAATATATGTTGAAAGACTTAAAATGTATCTAGCAGTTTTAATTTGTACTTCTCTAATTGTGAACAAAGATTACAATGTTAGTGAGACTGAGCATGCTGTACTTAGTAAAGCTAAAGCTATCTGCAAACAGTGAATATTATATTGATTCATTTAAACACATCAAATAAACCTTCAGGGAAAGAAATGATTGGATATATAACAAAAGGATTAAATGGTCTTTTCTTTTGTAATTTTTGGCTTTCAGCTCTATAACTTTTACAAAAAAGTAAAACTATAAAAGGAAACTGAAGAAAATAAATCTAACATGCATGAAGATTTAAAATGTACTTGGTGATAGGATAAAAAGATTAGAGCACCGTAAAGATAAAATGATGTGATAATAAAAACAATTCCACTCACATAGCTATATACTGGATAAAATACATACATAATCTCTCTGGACCTTGATTTTTTTCATCTATAAAGTGACAGGCTTGAACTGGAACATTACAATTTTGCTTTGTATGTACTTATAACTTTGGACAGCCACAAGTAAGAGCACTTTTAATTAGAACACAAAAGAACAAATCTTACATAATAAAATGTTTTCAGGTTAACTGAATTATGCAGCAACATAGATAAGTTACCTTTTCATAAACGCTACTTTCCTCTACTGAGATAAAATGTTAAACAAGGAATTACCTTTTGGTATTCTCTTGCTCTTGTTCTGAGAATGGCTTCTGCTTTTTCTTGGCCTGTTCTTCCAAAAGCCAACTTTTCCTCTTCAATCCCTTCTTATGGTTGGAATTCAGGTTCACACTCTGAACAACAGCTTCAATGACATCTTGAACTGTATCAGGACCAAGGTGTAGTGCTGCTTCTTCTTCACCTTCATTCAATTTTGGGCTGACAAACTGAGTAGTTTGAAATGCTTGCATTGATACCACAGCCTGGAGGGGACATTTCCGAGGTCGACCTGGTCTGCGTTTCACGAAGTTATTTCCTGTCCTGGCCTGTCTTTGAAGTTTTTTGGCTTTTAAAATTTTATTTACATGATCCAGGTTTTTCTTGGTGGCCAAGATTTTGTCATAATTGCACATTTTCCGAGCTTGGCGCTGCATAGCTTCTACTACACTTCTCTTGATATGATGAGAGGAACAGCTGCTTGGCAACTTTTCAGAAAGGAGTGAGATGCTGTTACTACAAGAGTCACTGGGTACTGCAGGCACTAGAAGGCTGTCTGGCTTTCCCAGGGATCGTTCCTTGCTGTGGTTATGGCCTGGACTGGAAGAAGGTGGCACAGAGGCAGATGCAATCACAGCATCAATGTTTTTTTCCAGGGGCTCTTGATTTTCATGTTGTACCATCCGCTGCAGCAGACTATCCACGGAGTCGTCCCCAGAAGAAACCAATCTTGGACTTCGAGAGGGAACTCCATTCACTAAATAATAAGACAAATCACATATAGATATAAATTAAACACAGCTAGTTATTAAAATAACTTTCTACACTGGATAAAAGACAAGGAATACTGCTTTATTTTTGACAGCAAGATGAAACATCATAATACCATATGCATTTGTCTTTCACAGACTGGTCAACAGCTTACTTTCCTAAGTAAGGTACATTACAGTAACCATAATTCAAAATTGACCCATATTTCCCTAATGATATGTGAATTAAAACAACAATTCTCACTCTCTGAGATGAAAAGCAGAAATAAGAGTTAATTTCTTCAAAAATGAAGATCCAGTTAAAGGACTTGACAGTCACAGCAATCTTGGATCCTGGATAAAGATCTAAACTTTAAATATAGATGATATTGCTAGCTCAGACCTTTTTTCCTGACAATGTTTTAAGTGCAAAGGTATAGAAATGAAACTCTCCTGCAAAGCTTTAAAATTACAATTTAAAAAATCTGTACAAACTAGTATAGAAAGAATATATATTGACAGCAAAATTAGAAATAAGTAGTCTTAGATAAACCTTGTTATCTTACTGGCCCAAGGATGGGGTCATCTTTGTTTCTTCAGTACCACTCGACAACTTTTTATGACTATAATTAATGTGGGAAATGCTCAACTTCCTCTGGTAAGCTGTATTAGTTTTACAGTATTAGGAAACTCAGATCATAATGGGCCACTTCCCAAAATGCATGGTTTACTACTAATAATCATGTTATACTTTTCCAAAGTTAATCAATGAATTTCTTATCTACATGACTATAAAATATACTATTCTAGACACTCTTTTATAAACTCTAGGCATTCGAGATCCTAATAGCATCTATCTGACAACACTGAAATTTTATCAAATTACTAATAACTTCCTAAAAAAACTAAGTATTCTTTAAATGGAATATTTTCAAAATTTAAAACTCTCAGCTATATTTTATATTACTATTATTTAAAATCCTGCCTACACCAGACCTGGACCCAAGATGTGGATCATCAGAAGTTCCTGCAGCTGAGACAGAATGACCTAAGATAATTTTCTATTAATAACTGTAATTGTAAGATCTTTCTCCTTCCCCATTTTATGGAGACAGGCATGAAATGCAGTTTCATGTTTTCCCTCGAGGTAATTTTTTTCCTGATTGCTTCCCTGTCTGTAATAGTCTGCTGCGCCCACAGAACTCATTTTTCTCTATACATGTACATTACATGATTATAAGTGAAATGATAATACATTAAATGGTGTTAACCTTAAAAATATTCTATCTCCACTGTTTCTGGTAATACATTTCCATTATCTTCCAATTACTTGCAACTCCAATAAACTGAAGTTTCTGTCTCTCCTTCAAAATCAATAAGAAGAAAAACTGAAAAATAAATGCTCTATAGTTTCTCAACCTCCCTAGTTCAAGTCCTTTTCTGGCTTCAACACTACACTCCCTGGCACTTCATTCAATTATCGACTAAATTCTGGTGGCTCATAAATCTCTATTATATATATATAACTTCTTTCTAAGTCTTTTACATGTTTCATAATTTCTCAAATTCTCCATATTTACAATTTCATCATCTCCTCCTTTATCCTTGCTCCTCCTCCAGATTTTCTATATCAGTGAATGACATCATAAAGTTTCTAGTCCCAAAGAGACTTTAAAAGAAAGGCTATGAGAAGAGACAAAGACATTACATAAAATGGATCAATTCAACAAGAGATTATAGCCCTTGAAAAGATCTGTGCACACAACACAGGAGCATTTTAATATATAAAGCAAGGGGTGTCAAAACTTTTGGTGTCTCTGGGCCACATTGGAAGAAGAGTTGTCTTGGGCCATGAATTAAATACACAAACACTAAGGGAAAAAAAAATCTAATAATGCTTTAAGTAAATTTATGATTTTCTGTTGGGCTGCATACACAGCCATCCTGAGCCGCACATGGCCCACTGGCTGTGGGTTGGACACAAACAAATACTAATGGACATAAACAGTGAGTTTGACAGTAATGCAGTCATAGTAGCAGACTAACACCTAATTCATATTAATAAATACATATTCCAGAAAGAAAATCAGTAAGAAAACTGCGGCTCCAAATAATGACACATTAGACCAGATGAATTTAATTGGTATTTAAAAAAGAAAATCACCACAAAGCACCAGGATATAACATTCTTTTAAAGTGCTCATAGCATATTATCCCAGGTAGACAATGTGTTAGGACACAAAAAAAGTCTCAATAAATTTAAGAATATTAAAATCATATCAAGCATCTTCTCCAACCAGAATGTCATAAAACTAGAAACCAAATGATATCAGAACATATCTTGAGACAGATGAAAATGAAAACACAAGAACTCTAAATCTATGAAATACAGCAAAAGCAGTCCTAAGAGGGAAATTCATAGCAATACAGATCTACCTCAAGAAACAAGAAACATTTCAAGCAACCTAACTTTACATCTAAAGGAATTAGAAAAAGAATCAGAAACATGGCTGAAAGTGAATATAAGATACAAAATAAAAAAGAATGGAATGAAAATAAAGTCTAAATAAACAATACAAAAGATCAATGATACAGAGGGCTGGCTCTTCAAAAAGACAAGCAAAACTGATAAAACTTTAACTGCTAATTCCTAGAAACATACAATCTTCGAAAACTGAATCAAGAAGAAATGGTACATGTGGACAGACTAACTACTAATGAAATAAAAAAGTAACTCACAAAAACCAAAAAATCCTGGATTTGATGACTGTATGGATGAATTTTATCAAACAGTCAAAGAAAAATTTAACACCTGTCCTAAAACTATTCCAAAAATTTCAGGAGAAAAGGTTCCCAAGATCATTTCATGAGGCAGCATTACCCTGATTCCAAAAATGGACAAAGACATTACAAAAAAAGAGTTATAGGCCAATGTCCCTGATAGACATGGATGCAAATACCCCGAAAAAATATTAGCAAATAAAACTCGACAATACTTTAAAAAGATCATATACCTTGATAATGTGGAATTTATTCCTGAGGAAAAAGGGGTTTAGTATTTGCAAGTCAATTAACATGATATACCACATACACAAAATGAAAGATATAAATCTTATCATATCACTAGTATAGAAAAAAATATTGCACGAAATCTAGCGCCCATTTATATAAAAACTCTCAGCAAAGGAGAAATATAGAAAATGTACCTCAACACAATAAAGGCAGTACATGACAAACACGAAGCTAACATCATTTTCAACTGTGAAAAGATAAAAGTGTTTTACTTAAGATCAAGAACAAGACAAGAATGTCCAGTTTCACCACTTTTATTTAATATAGTATTGAAAATGCTAGACAAGAAAATCCTTTTCTTGTCTCTGCAATAAGACAAGAAATAGAAATAAAAGGCACTCAAATTGGAAAGAAAGATGTAAAACTGTCATTATTTATAGATGACATGATAGACCAATTTCTTGACAGGGTGGCCCAGGATGGCTATGAATGTGGACCAACACAAAATCATATATATACTTAAAATCTTTTGGTTTTGTTCATTTGTTTTCATTAAGTGTGTGTGTATTTAATGTGCGGTCCAAGACAACTTTTCTTCTTCTAGTATGGTTCAGAAATGCCAAAAGGTTGTACACCCGAAAAACTGAAATTGGACTAACATTTAAGACACAAAACCATAAAACTCCTAGGAAAAAAACACTGGCAATAAACTCTTTGACACTAATTTTAGTATTATTTTTTTGTAAGTCTCCTTGAGAAAGGGAAACAACAGAAAATAACAAATGGACTACGACAAGCTAAACAGATTTTGTACAGCAAAGGAAACCATCCATAAAACCAGACAACAGATCTACTAAATGGAAGAAGATATTTGCCAATGATACAGACGAGTTTCATATTCAAAATATAAAAAGAACACATCTGATTAAAAAATGAGTAGAGGACATGAATAGACATTTCTCCAAAGGTGACGCAGTAATGGCCAAAACACATGAAAAGATGCTTGATGTCACTATTCATCAGAGACAGGTAGAAATTAAAACCAAAATGAGATATTTATTAGAATGGTTATCACCAATACATCAACAAACAGTAAGTGCTGGCAAGGATGTAGAGAAAAAGTAACTCTTGTACATGGTTGTTGGAACTGTAAACTGGAACATGTGAAAAACAATATGGAGGTTCTTCAAAAAATTGCAAATACAACTACAATATGACGCAGCCATTTTAATTCTGGGTATTTAATGAAATCCAAAACATTATATTGAAAAGATATATGCATTCCTATGTTCAGTGCAGTGTTATATCCAAGATATGAAGGCAACCTAAGTGCCCACTGATAGAAAACTGGATAAAGAAAATGTGGTATACATTTACAATGGAATATTACTTGGACATTAAAAGAATCAAATCTTACCATTTCTAACAACATGTAAAGAGTTACAGTGTATTATGCTAAGTGCAGTAAGTCAGACACAGAAAGACAAATACCCTATGATTTTATTTATGTGTGGAATCTTAAAGCACAGTATAGGAAATATAAATAATATTGCAATAACTATGTACAGTGCCAGTTGGGAAAAATATTATTGGGGTGAATACTTAAGTTATATAAGTATCTAATCCCTATGCAATACACCTGAAGCAAATTCTGCATAGTAACTTAAATTAAAAATTTTAAAAGATTTTCTTTATTTATTTTTAGAGAGAGGGAAAAGGAGAGAGAAAGAGAGGGAGAGAAACATCCATGTGTGGTTACCTCTTGTGCATCTCCTACTAGGGACCTGTCACACAACCCAGGCACGTGCCCTGACTGGAAATTGAACTAGTGAACTTTTAGTACACAGGCTGGCACTCAATCCACTGAACCATATATAGTCATGGTTGTAATTTAAATATTAAAAAAAAAAATGCAAGTTCAACCAAAATGGAGGACATACTGATCAAAAAATCTCAGCTTTATCTCAAATGAAAATTAAATTTGCCAGGCAAATGG